TGTCGATCAGATGCGAGTGGTGACTGTGTAGATGACCTACTCAGGTTCAAAGATGGTGTCAAAGCTTCCAAATACTTCAATATGGATGCAGAATATCTCATTCCTGAACAAAAGAAAACAGCGAGGGATAACAGTGTAAGAATTAGAAACGTTACTCAAGTTGCCTTTCTCGCGTAGGTCTGGCCGTTCAGTTGCATCACTCAACTGATTCTCACTACACAATGTAGAGGCTTTTGGATTCGTACATGCCTTGCACGAAATTTATAGGCATGATCCCTGCAAACGATAGGGCGTGTGAAGGGGCGTAACTTGGATCGGAGTCAGGGCATTCCTTCGCGCCAGTAGTTGAGTACTCAGGATGCCATCATTGGTGAAAAAAGCCGCTTTTATTGTGCTTGTCAAACACCTTATCGTTTGCTGGGATCATGACTGTATTTATATGGAGCAGAATAGTTAGCGCTCAACCTGTTGCATTTGTCCTCCTCATGTAGGCCTCTTACCACCCGGATGCTCCTGCTGTCTCATAGAGTCTCCCAGGAGGTTCACAGTAGCACCTATAGGCCCTAAGCTACCGTCACTCATGCTGAGTTCGGAATTTTAGAACATCAAAACATCTGCAAATATTTTATAGCACCTGCAAGTCGGAATGGGACGACGGTTTCGTGCACTCAAAATCTATTTCGTGCTGCGTCATCTTGGAGCCAAATACATTCAGGAAGCACTGAGAAAGGTGAGTTCTTCAGAGGTTCAAAGGGGAGGTTTCTGCCAAGTAAACGAGGTTAGACAGATGTTTGGCTGCTGGGCCTTGTGGAGCTCTTTTCTATACCTCTGCTAATGCTTATAGTTAGTACGTTCCGCCCAGGGTACAGCATCAGGATGGGTGAAAATATCGGTGTGATAGCGGCTCTACCCCACGAATTTCCTCAAGCCTCACTTTCCGCTACCCACCTAGCGCCTTATCATGTTGCGCTGTCGAGTACGATGAGCTTGCCGCCCGCTTCTTGCGCGCGTTCACCCGTAAAAACTGCAGTTTCTTGACGGTTGCAGACCCAGAGTGCCTTGAGGAGGGTGTGGTGCACATCTATAGTTGCAAAGGGTGTTTTTTAACTCACGAACTCGTTTCTTAGTGTCAGTCGAGTTTTCTCAGGGAGACTCATTACAGCAGGTTCGATTGGCGGCGTTGTTCGCAGAACTAGTAACAAACGACGAGGACTTTGAGTTGTTCGTCCCACAACATCTTGGACTCGTGTGCTTTAGAATTAGCAACGTATGTGCTTATAAGTTTCTATAAAATGTTACTAGAAGGTAGTGAGGTCAGGGTTGAGCTACGCTACAGCTTGAGGCAGCGTTCAGACATCGCGACGGCAGCGCTCCCGTCCGCGCATTCGATCGATGCGCATGCTTTCGACTGCATCGATCCGTAGCGCGCGATCAAGTGCGCCGTCGGGAGCCTGAACGCCGCCTGACCCATGCCGGGGGCGGGGGAGGGGAAGGAGGGAGCAGTGTCTTGTCCGAGAGGCAGTCCTATCTGGAGGTAGTGTTTAACTTTCAGTTGGAAATGGGTTGTGAAGAGCTCGAAGGGTGCCATTCCCTCCCAAATGGGCCCAGCTCGGGTTGGAAGGGTAGAGGTCTCCCTGCTCTTCCGTTTTTTCCCATTTCCGTTAATTTGTTGTGAAAGAGTTGACAGATATTCACCACAAGAGTTGAAAAATGGTCTCGAGAAGCTTTTACTGCTATCACTTCGTGGCTTCATAAAATTTCACTGATCTGTACTTGATGGTTCAGCACGAAGATGGGAAGTAACGGAAGTGCAGAACGCCCCTCCTGAAGCTCAAACTACCCCTTCCCCTCCCAAATGGTTTTATAGAATCTTTGTGCTAGCAATAGAACTGCAATAATGAAATTAATAAACATATTGCAGAGTACAAACGAAGAGAATGCAGCACTCTGTAACGCAATCAATAAGGATCGACGGGTTTATATCTTGCCAGCAAAGGTACTGTCGATATTTGATGGCAACAAGGGGCGTAGTGTAGCAAAAGCAAGGGCTGCGAGGGTCCAGACGGAAGAGAGGCAGAGACGTATGTATGATAGACTAGAGTTGGCACATCTCCAGAACGCCCCTCCTCGCCCTTTGCTGTGGATCATAGGTACCCGGTCCCAATTAATATTGATATTCTACAAGTTCACAGAAGACGTTTGTTCACAGTTTCTGGAAGCTAACAAGCGACAACTATTAGTGGAAAACGGACTGGCCTTGCGCTAAATCCAATCCTTTGCCCGCCCAAGCATGAGCGGGGTACAAGACTGTAACACACTTGGGACAATTCCTGCTAGAAATTGCTTCCTCCCGAGTAACATTACAAGAGGTGAGTACACTAACGATGCGGCCAAAGGTACGAATTCAACTCAGAAGCTTCAGATATGAGATTTTGATTGGAGGGCCATAGGATTTCCCATAGCCTTCCATCAAAAAGTCTTCAGTCGCGGTCGATTAATCCCTGTCGATCTGCTTGGGCAAGCTGCCAAAATCGACCTTGCTGCTCGTCTCCTGAACAGACGCGAGATTTTTCGTCGAAGGGGTCGGCAGGATAGTTCAGAAAGTTCCCCGCTTTACACTTCAAGGAGGCTTTCTGACATTTTCGAAAGCAGAATAAATAAAATTGAACTTATGTTCCCACTAATGAGACAAATGTGCGTTATTTATATGAAGAGAGTTTTTCAAGTACACCCCCCCCCCTCTTAAAGGCAGTTGGCACGATAAATCCCCCAAGACGACTAGGATCAATACTCCTGGCAGGATAGAATTCCGCGACCCTGGGCAGGCGCTGCATAGCGGTTTCCCCGAGGAAGGTGCCCTTATAAGGGCCCTATCAAGCCACAACTTTACGTCCCAAACGCCCCGCCACGCCCGCCCGCCCACAAATGGACGACCGTTCCTGACGCTCGTATTCATTCATTTGCTAAGCAAATTATGAAGCGAAGGGATTGGTATGAAGCGGCCGTGATGCTGCATGCATATATGGGTACACATATGCAGCCGTATCTTCGGTAGCGGTGATTGGCAAGATGCCTACGGGAAACTCGTCCGAAATCGATTTACAAGTCACTGAACGGAGGCTTTTTCTTCGCAGGATTTTGACCGTTTCACTCCGTTCTTTCGCCATTTCCCCACTATACAGCGCCCTACTAGCATTTTAGGCTAAGTAGGAAACCATCGTGCCAACTGCCTTTAACTGAAAATACGGCCTCCTCATCGCGTCGAGTGACTGACGATGATGTGCAGTGGTTGCAGACTCTTACAAATGTCTAATTTCTCTGAACAACTTACAGACCATATCTGGAGGAAATAAGGGGCGTAGCTGCGCGGTGGGCGATGGCTGTCAGGGTCAGACGACAAGCAGCTAGGAAACACATTATAAAAGGCCGTGAGGTTGATTACGTGCCTGCCTACCGCTCTTCCTCCCGCCCTTGTGTCCTTTCACTGTGGACGACACAATCTTCGCTGGCGCAAAGCAGGCAAATTGTTCGCGCATGTCTGGAGTCTCGCTCTGCGCTAGTAGAGATTATTAGTGTTCAGGGCAACCGAGTCGCGGCATCGCGCACAAGCCAGCAGAGTATTTCCTGGCTGGTTTACTTAACACGCTGCAGCGCTGCCACGTTAAATCGATTAGGTCTGGTGGAATGCCGTGCACGCAACCTTGCATCGCCTCTTTCGCTGCGACTCCGATGCATTGAAGAAGGAAAATTAGAATTCCGCACAGCCAAAACGATTGTGTTTTTGACAGGACTGTTTCAGGTAGACGGTAAACTCTTCCTTCGACTTGCCATATGTAGTGTACTCACGACAGAAGACGACATCAGATTTACATTCAATCTATGCAAAGAAATACTAGCAAACACCAGAGCAGCGTTATTGAAGCCAGAAATGCAGGAATTACAAGCACATGCCGAAAATTATCAGCAAAACATCCTATCTATCTAACGAAAATCTGTAAATTAATTAAGTTATAAACATCTTATATTGTTCCGTCATTTCTTTTAGCACCGACCTCTCCGATGAAAGGCCTTGCTCTCAAAGGTTTCGGTTGCATCAGAAGGCGGCACCTAGCTTCCCTTGCTCCTACGATAGCAGCCCACCGTGTCATACTTATGTCGCAGCGTGGAGAATTGGCGAACTGAGGAACTAACCGAAAAGGATTAGATGTATCGCAATTTCCCTTTTCGTGATTATTTCAGCTATGAACGCGACCTGAAGCAACTTCATCGCCCTAGGAACGCCCGAAATGGGAATGTGGACTGTATACTGGACGGCAATAGGACTTAGAAAATGAGTGTCGATGAGATGAAAGGAGCAGTTATCGATCTCACCCAATTACAAGAGAAGACATCTGTTGGTTAGGCTGCGTTTATTACTGGGCGGCAGCGTAGCGTTAGCGCTCCAGCGCTTTCGCTTAGCGTTTGCCACAGCGCGGGGTCTAGAGAGTATATGATGAGTAGGAGAGTCAAAATACTCGCGAGCCTAGACGAGTATAGAAGAGATAGGAGAATACAGAATACTCTCCCTACCTTTTCCCACCAGTTTTTTCCTACTCCCTGCCGCTGCAACGCTCTCTAGTGAAACGCCAGTGAAACGCTCGTGAAACGCTGGGAGCGCTAGTTCGATAGCTATACATCCCGTGCCCTCGCTACGCTAGCGTTACGCTGGCGTACGCTGGTGTCGCTAGATCGATATCCATCCTTTCTCCGATACGCTGAAGCGCTAACGCTACGACGCTGGCCCGCCAAAGTACAAACCCCAGCTTTACTGAATTACTTCATAGATCACAGCTGCGATCTATCCACGTTGACTCAGCAATCCAGCGGAATCCTCTCTTTCAACAAGCAGGCCATATCAACAATTATGGTTCATTTTGTCAGTATATAGAATCGAAAGGGGTGAGTTTCCACTCTGATCGGTGATTTTGGTGTAATCCTGCTGAGAACCTGGGGTTAATGTGTTTAAGGGGTAGAGGGAACCATTCTAAAGCGCCCCACTGTCATAATTTCCTAGCGAACGCTTAGGGTCAAAGCGGCCCTGCAAGTTAGTGGCCTGCCGGCAAGTAACTGGTTGCGGCAGGCCGTCTCTGTACCCTAACCCTCTTGCGCGCTGAGGCAAAGCCTTGACAATGGTTTCGTCTCATCATGTCGTGAAACCGTCGCACTATGGCTTCACTACATGATGTGTGTCGGCACACACAACACTTGGTGCCTTTTGCTGTCCTAAGATTCTGTGGTAACGGGTCAAGCTCTATTAAACAAGGTTCCATTTTCTCATGTCACATGATTACATAGGCGAATAGTAAATAGGATGCCAATTAGACAGCGTTCAGACTTCGCGACGGCAGCGCTTCTGCCGCGCGATCGATGCGCATGATTCTAGAATCGATCGCCTGAACGCGCGGACCGAAAGCGCTGCCGTCGCGAAGTCACCGTGTAACAGTTCGGCTTCCTGAAGGGTATTTTTTGTAGTTCACAACGATTACTGCCGATGCCTTTTCTGGAGACCTGTTGCGAAGCTTTGCAATAGCGCTAACTTCGGTTGCACTTAGGCTGCGTTTATACCTCACGACGTCGAGGTAACTGACATAATTGAAGTAATGAGCGACTAAAGACTAGAAACGTATCCGATCGAATGCGACTCGACGTAACCGGCCGACAAGAATTAGATACGTACCGATGAGTTGAAAGCATCGGTTATGTCGAATACGTCATTTGCGTCGGCGTCGGGTGTGGCGACTACGTCAGATCGATACGTATCTTATCTACTGTCGTCGGTTACGTCGACGTCGACGACACCGTCGTAAGGTTTGGACGCAGCCTTATACTTGACAGGAGTCTACAGTTCCCACCAAGGTGAGAATTGTAAGTCAGCAGGAATATCTAAGAGGAACGAGCGAACTAAAAAATTGGTCCCACCCCTCTGACGATGAGCCGAGCAGCACCTATACGAGTCGCTCTCCACTATAAATCCGGAGAAGGAGGCGGGGCCTACCATGCGCATCGCTAGCAGTAAGTGCTGGGTTGTCTCCAGCACAGGCCATCCGAGCGCAAGGTACAGCATCGTGATGTGTGAGGTGGCGGTGTAGGTACGATTCCCTCCTAGGAAGGGTGTCAGTACGACCCACCCTCCACCTAAATGAGGGTCTCGGTACGACCCCCCCCCCTTCCCCAGCACCTACCTACCAATTCCCCACCACATTTTCCAGTTTTTCACCCAAGAATTTCCCGTCGAGCTGGAAAGGCACATACGACCCCCCTCTCTCCCAACGACTGGATCCCAGAGAAAAGTACGCCCCCCCTATATGTTTCGCACAACGATGCTGTACCCTGTCCGAGCGTCCCATTGCTTGGAGTCGGTAAATTGATGCTCAACCCGTCTGGGAGGATGAAAGCAGTGATTTCATCATTTGGTGGTCTCAGCAATCCGCTATCTGCCAAAATGCCCACACGATCAAGACTGGAAATAGAAGGTGAGGCGCATCGTACACAGGGGGTTCTCACGCCAAATTGTTCACCCTCACTGTTCCTATGACTCTGGAGCCCCCGTGCCACATATCATGCCCTATCAGAGTTGTTCGGGAGTAATTGTCAGTGCATTTGTCTACTACATAGCAACGTTTTTCCGATGCCTTTGTTCGTCGCAGTCAGCGCCGCGATAGACGACAAAAAAGAGGGCATAAAATGAAATACCTACTT